TATATCGCCGGACGTAAAAACTTAACAAATCAGACTTTATTAGTAAAGAGAAAATATGTTCGCGGTACTTTTGCCCATCGAACCATCGGTTATGTTTGCTCAGGTAAACTCAATGTTAATGTTAAGTTTTTGTTAGTATCCGTTCGTTAAGTTTATTTTAAAATTAGCTATGAATCGTCTCTTTATGAGAATACATATGCATGCTGCTAGTAGTTGCCTTTAATATGCATGCAAATATATCATTCGTTTTTCAATCACCATAACTTGTGATCGTTTAATCAAAAAATATTGTCGTTGGTTTAGCAAAATAAAATAAAAAAAAACGAGCAATCTCTGCAATTGCCTTTTATACTCGGCCATTCATCGTTTCAACAGCAAAAATAATTTTGTAAAAGGCTTACACAATTGGAACCGGAATGCTTATATCGATTCTTAGTGCATTTATTTGAAAATAATTTATGTCTGGTTGCTGTGCAGTCAAATATTCGTTAACATACATTTTATTATATCAAATCATTCTACTAATTTACATTCTATTAATATGAAATTCTATACCATGTTAAAGTTATAGTGTCTCAACGGTTTACATTACACATTTTTAAGGAATGTGAATAGCGAAATTCTTTTACCCAAATTTATGTGTGTGTCTCGCTCTTGAAATCATCAATATACCACACTTACAACTTTATAAAGATGCAATTTTTTCCTTTCCAATAGCGTCAATTTAAATTTAAAAATAGCAAACTGATTGATGCTTTTGTCCACAATTTGGGAAGTGGTTATTCTAAAACGAAGGAAAGTTGAATTTAACTGTCCTTGTTTAAAAAGTAAGTGTATACGCACGTATTCTTGGTTCTAAGTTGAAATTGTTAAAGAAAGAATATATTATAAACAAACTGTTTCTAAATTGAAATTATTAAAACAAGTGAGTGGATCTACTGGTTCGTGGTCCCAAGTTAAAGCATTTAAAAGAAGTGAATATTATGATTTCAAATTGTTTAAAATTGTGCGTTAATCATATATATTTACTAGATATATATTTGTATGTACTTATAAAGTAAAAGATATGTAAATTAATTTAACTTTGTGGCGACAAACCGTACGCGTGACTGAACAGGAAAGTAAATTGATTAAATAACATAGATGTTGTTAAGCTCTTAAGTCTTCATATATTATTTATTTATTTATTTATTTATTTACTCCACTTATTCAAGGAACTCAACTAAACATTTTGACAGTCGAGTTCAATTGACTCTTAAAGTAAATCTTGAATTAATTAATAGTAAAACTTTGTATACGTACAATAAAATAAATAAGAAGGAAAAGAAGAAAAAAAGCATGTACACAACTAGCATAGAGCCACACACACAACCGGTATAGGACCAAATTGCGATTGAACCCCTAAGCCATCGCAAACATGCTTAAGCTTGGCAACCGATAATAGTTAACAACAATTCATTTTCGACTCATCGTGACATTTTAAGGTTAAGAGCTAGTTTAAGTACGGCTTAGGTAAATCACGCGCATTAACCAATGTTGCTTTAATGGACTTTAAAGGTAAAGTGCCTGGAGAAGCGGTTGGGTACATTAAAGCTTATTTCACCAAGTAATGCAGGCGAGTCAATAGCGCCATTTATTACTTTGATTACGTACGAAGGATTATCTTAGCTTTGTAAGAACTGGGAATTCAAATTAACTAAATGCTTTTATCGAATCGTATACAAATTTGGTGTCAAACTCGGCAATACCTAAAAATCAGTCAATACAAAAACAAAAACTCTATAACATATAAAACGATTGAAGTGGATCATAAGCATACATAAAGCCCAAATCAAGTAAGTCGTATATATCCAAATTAAGAAAACTGTTGCAGAAATAAAAACAAATGAGGGGTAAAAATTCATAAAAAGAAGCACAAAATAAAACCTTGTACGTTAGATTCCGTGGTATGTAGTAAGAGTAAGTATGAGTAAGTATGGTATGTAGTAAGATCGTGCCTATTCTTCTGAAATGTTAAACATATCTCTGAGAATACAACGGCATCATCCGTGTTTAAGCAAACGTTAGTATAATGAAAAAATACATACAATCCTATACAGTGGCGGTCAAAACTAGGCAAATATGCCAATGAGTATGTACTTACGATTTATAAATTTGATTTATAATTGGCAATACGATGAAGAACATTACGGTCAGTTTATAGAAATTTAAGAAATCTGAATTTAAAGTATACTTGAAAACATGCTCAATGAATAATAATTACATTCTCGGCTGCTGATACGTAAAAGAAAAAAACGAATTATGCTTTAGTATACACGTAAATTTAATGGTGAAGCATTTCGCTATTCAAAATTGGTGTCATTAGTTTAATAACTTACAATATATCGGCGAAAGTTTGTCATAATCAGTAGCTCGAGCCTCTCAAATTATAGTGCATATATTTTGTAAGATTGTTGAGTGTAGGTAGAATGTTATGTAGCCGCTGTAGTTAATTTAAAAGGACAAAGTTTTAAATTTGCATGAAAATATAATCTCTCTCAAACCGGTACACGGATAATCGAAACTAACAGTTTGAGGACAGGCCATCAATAGCCAAACACGTCTAGCACATGTTAGCAAATTTATCATAAATGTTCTGTATTTTTCTCGAGCCACCTAATTAATTTAAAGGTCGTTTAAAACAGCAGACTACTCCTTCTTGATAGTTACGTTCTCTTAATTGTAGTAAATTTGCTTGATTGTTTGTACATTGAATTAAGATTAAGATCCAAGATTGCCGGTGCAGTTGCTTAACGTTATCCTCTCAGGGATCACAATTTTAATCTCGCTAGGGAAGCTTTAATATCAGAACAAGAGGGTTCTGGTGGAAGACTAAATACGTATTCTTCTTAATGTTCCTGAGGCCCAAAAACAAAGTAATCTATCTATTCTTAAAATTCTAAAAATGAATGATTGCCTACCATCCTTGAAATCGGTGGAGATACCTATGGTCGTCGATATAATCCAGCAGAAAAAAAGAAAATTTTTGTTTTGCTTTACTACATAAAGAGGAACATTTGGAGAGTGCGGATTAAAATTTTGGTCTTGATATATTTTTATTTTCACCAAGACGATGTCCTTAAGCATGACGTAGACAATGTGCGTGTTATATAATTTACTGCATGTCATGAATACACCAACCCAGAGTTTAGACATAAACCCAAAAAAAATTTGTGGGGCTATCTCGATAGGAAAATTCCCCATTACACTATAAATCCCAAGGACGATTTCAAGAAACTCTTCGGGACGAATAACAAAAAATTGAACCAACGGTTTACGAAAAACTTGAAAGTATATACTAAATAGATTAAAAATGGTGATAACAAAGGCAAGCATACCAGATATTAATATTTAAGGAAAAAATTAAATTTGTGTATAGTGTACGAGTTTGGCTTTGGCATTGAAATGAAACTTTGGTTATTTTTCTAAATTATTTATGAAATGAAATAATAAAATTTATGTCAACTCTTCTTTAAACTCTTCCTTTTTGATGCAATAAGAGGCATGAATAAATTATTTTAGCTGTATGAGCTTATTTTGGTACTATAAATGGTCAGTCAATTTATTGGCTTACTCCTTTACACATGCTTTTTATTTATGCATAATATCCGCTCTTTTATCAGATACACACACTTACACTTCCCATCTACACATTAACATGTTTTCTACATTACAATAATACCCATTGCACCATATCAACTCAAAAGCAATCGAAAAACAAACAGAATGTCACAATATGTAAATAAAACAATTTTATAAAAATTAAATAAACGAAAAATGGAAAATTTTTGGCAAAAATGAAAAAAAAATCCTTCCCACAACACGGTCACATTTACGTGGCCGACATGAAAACATGTAAAAATACACCTATATATATATATATCACTCAAGCTGACCAACAACCTGAGCTAAAAAACATCGAAATCTTATTAAAATCGCGACCAGAAGGTTGAACATAAGAATGCAAGGACCTCAGGCAGATGAATAAACGTAGATAAAAAGTGGGTCTATTTCGAGTCCGTTACAAACATTCTCAAAATTGTAACATTCCCTATACCCGCAATTGGTATAATGTATAAAAAAACTTTTTTCACGCTACATGTTGCCTAACCACTATAAACTTTTTAGGGGCAAGAATTGTTAATGGCTATTAGCAAGATACGGGTTCCTAAGAAGCTGTACATTTTGTTCGACGAAACTAGTTAACTTGGTCCCTTACGGACGATTATGATTAAAGCATAACATGTGATATGCGTCGGAGACTTAAATTTATCAAAAACTATTACCCTGCGGAGAATAACTTTTAAAATGAGGAATTTAGGCGAAATGTCTTAATCGACCAATCTAACATGCAAAGAAGCCGATTTCACAGATTAGACTACAACTCAGACTGGATTCATATTTTGTTAGGGTTGTGTTGGTGGCAAAAGCATGATGCTAATAATTATTATTTAATTGTTAATTATTAACAATTTATGGTCATAAGTAGAGGATAAAGTACCTGCGGAAATACACTTACAGCCCGCTTACTGCTTAAAACAAGCTTTTAAGCAATAATACATAAAAATAAAAACAATCAGACTTGTCGAAGAAAGTGCAAATGTGTTAATGTGCGTTTTGTCCGCATCATTCATTAATAATTTTGCACCCAACAATGAGATTCTTACAAACTGCTTTTAAAAAAGAATGCTTAAATTATAGGACAGAATTATTGTCGTAGTTTAACGAGAAATTTTAAATTGAAACCTAACAACACTTTTTTCGGAATTGCTCGAATATTTAAAACTTCAAAGACTTCAAAGTATATATCACTATTGTCGTTTTTCGTGAAAGCTAAGTAAAGATTAGTGATAAAGTCGAATGTGTACCAGAACACACGTGTAATTAAAATTTGGAAAACAAAGTTTTGATAGAATGTATTTTCTAAATATATATTATTCATGAGTATTCAGATTCTATACCTTAAGCACCTGTAAATCCATGAGAGAACGTTCAATCAAGTATACGTTTCAATTGATCCATTTCATAATTGTTTCATAGAAGGAATAGAAGAGCGTAAATAAAGTGGAAAACATTACTTTAGAAGCTGATAGTAAAAATAAGGTAAATATGTATATGATGTATATAGAATTTTGAGCTACTATCACAAAGTGTAAGCACTTTTCAAATAGATAATCACCCCAGAGGGTCTAAGAGACTTTTGCATACCTTTGGCCGAGGTCTTCAAAGTTTCGCCTATACAAAAATTTGACATTTTTTTTTGGATTATATATATTATATATTATATGTATATATATATTTATTAACATATGCATTTATTTTATATGCATATATATATATTATATATGTATATATACGTATTTATTATATTATATTTATAAATGTTTTGTATATTTGTACAGGTTTAATATATTAAAATTAAGTATATGTACAGAAGAAAGTAAGGGGAAGAGTTGGTTGTGTGACAGCGTAAGATTTGTCAGTTACAATAATATTGCACATAAATACATATGGTTATTTTATTTTTATAATTTGATATTGGAAACAATTAATTTTTATTTGGTACTTACCAGTTCCGATACCAGGGGAATTGATTTACGACGAGGTCTAATATCCGGCATGCTGTCAATGTTACTGTAAAAGGGATTGTCCCCAGGGTGACCATTGGCACGCATGCAACCATCAACTGAACCGCTGCTATTCTAAATAAAACGAAATGATTATATCAAGTATACATCAATACCTTAATATTTTCATTAATGTCAGTAAAGAAGCATTTTATTTATCAGCATGGTAGCCCAGTATCGGAAAGTTAAGTTTCGGTCGCGAATAAGCCGATAATTGATAATCACGACCGCGTAAGATTTCCGTGTCAATTTCGTCGTTATCATTCATATATATATATATGAATAAACAGAAAAGAAGAAGGAAGTTTTTGTTTATAATTAATTATAACTCTCAAACTCCGAAAAAAGTAGTTGGTTTTCCTCTCTGGTGAATGAGCAAACAAATCAACTGTTAAAGGAGTAAAGGACCAATATTTAGCGAATGAATTGAAGAAAAAAGAAAAATAAACTTTAGAAAATTTATTATACACTTACTCTACTTATATATTTGATATAGTTTTGCAAAATGGAGAAAGAGGTTGAATTTATATCAAATGGAACTTGTTATAAAATCACATATTTAAGTAAAGTAGTTTTTAGAGCCGTTTTTAAAGTGGCGAAACTAACGATTGTATAACTTATGAAAACAATAGATCGATGATAATAAGGACTCTTCTGGCAAATTATATACATTGATTACTTATGTTCGGTTGGGCAAATTTAAAAATTTGCACACTGAAAATATTGAATCAAATGATGATCACGATTAGAACGAGGATTTAATCTAATGGGTATAAAAGAACTTAAATGGAAATTTGTTGACAATGTTTTGTACCGAGGCTTAAAAATTCTTTATATTCTAGTTAATTAAGAAGCTTTCTTAACCTTTGCTTAAGTAGCATTTGTTTTTAGCATAAATAGATAGATGGGATAAATAGACTGAAAACAAACAAAATAAATGCACATTAAAACATAATAAATTTATCGATATCATTGTCGTGGGGTAGAGGGGTAAGTAAACTTTTAATGTGTAATTCGACGTTTGTTTTTAATTTGTTTTTTTGTGCTTAGAAGCCCTAGTATACGAGATGTGCCGCCTGAGAACGGTATATCGAGTACAGCTTAGAACCGCAAGTAAGTAGACGTATGTGATTTAAAATTTTCAAAAGTTTAATATTTGTTTTCGTTTTGTTAGACGTATTTTGTCAATTACGTCCCAAGCCCAAGAAAGAAACGTGCTCTTTGGCACCCGCGATCGCTTCAGCAGCAAATTGATTATGAAAACCGCTTTCCAGATACCATCCAACAATTATTATGGAGTCAAAATCAATTGCTAAGGAATAAAATCGAGGGTGATGGGTCGTTTTCCGCGAGATCCCAAGTGATTTCGAAGTTGACGACGAGTGTTTAATTAAATTCATCATATTTCTACTCTAATTTGTACTAAAAGAATACTATTTTAATTCTTTATGTCAACAAACTTTGAATTATATATTTTTTTATTTTCATATGTGTATTGTTTAAATATTCAATACATACACGTACTTATTTCTATTATGAAATGTCTTAATGAAATAATGAAATGAATATTAATGAAATAGAAATAATAAAAAATCTATAGAGAAAGTATTGACGTTATATTGATTCTTACTTGTTTTACACGTTTTTAGGTAGCACAGTGGGATTGGAAGCATCCCATAGAGCTCTTCTCCATCTCATAACAATTCTATGTTCGATCTTATTCCATAAGATGGTATGTCGAAGCATTCTGCCTAATATTTGTACGTTGAATCACATTAAAGGGTTATTTATTAACACTTAACAATTATTACGGAAATCCTAAATCCATTTATTCCAACTAATTGATTTTCCCAGACAATGATTTTCGGAGACAGGGAAAAATCAAGCGCCGGCCGGATTAAAAAATGAAACCATGGAGTTAAGCAATAGTAATATGCTTGTAAAAATGTATATAAACAGAAAATTTGTGGAAGGCAGAGTCAGTCGGACAAGAACGTTTGAATTGGAAAAGAACATTTTAGTTGAAAAAAAGCTTATTAAAAGAACGCTGTAAAACTGTAAATAGTCCTACCCTTATATAAATCGATTATAAATAAAAGAGTCTTGAAGGGAAAACGTGAAAGGGTATTTGTCTTAAAAAGAAGGACCACGATCTAGTGATACGAACAAGATCGAGAAAATCGAATTTTGTAACAATATTATTTATCTTTCACAAATTCAATTTTTTTTTAGTTGTTTTTATTTATTTTTTTCAGTTTATTGATTTTAGACGGACTAAGTCAGTAAGAAATGCTGCTTGCATACGCACTCAAAAAAAGTAAGATATATTTTAATGGAAAAAATTTTCCTGTTTTGGAATTTATATTGTTATGAAAATCATACATTTTATGAAACATGGAAACTGTTCGATTTTTTAGGAGACGAAATTCTTAAAATGGAAACCTACCTTTTGACATCCTTCGGGACAGTAGCCTAATGCAGCTGGTGTTCACCGAAAAGGTTTAGTAGTTCGCGGAAAAAGGAATTAACACGAAAATGTCAAAATGAAATATCGGGCTCATAAGCTGCTTGCAATGGGTATATAAGCATAGTGTTTGTTGAAGATCAAGTCAGTTGAGTCAGGAGAGTTAAATATTGATCTTCGAGCACTAAACTTGGATATAAGTTCCTGTAAACAATTGATTAGTAAATATATCCCCTAAGAGTTGAAAATGAAACCTACATCATCCTGCAGACCATAATTGAAAGGTATGAGCTTAAACTAGAAAGGCTTCGTATAAAACCATAAAATCGCACAGAAGTAGTTTCGGGTTACAAAATACTAAATTTGTGACAATTTCAAGAAGTTAGAGCTTCTATCGTGAGAAAGCGAGTATTCTGTGTTATTCACCGTGCTGCATAAACCGCAATATCAGATTTTCTCGTCCTGATTCTGAAAAAGTAAAACCTATCGCGAGCGTGACCAGTGAAAAATCAATTTAAGGTTTCGAATTCTAAAGGCACAAAGTGGAACTCTTGGTAACAAAGTTGACGTGGGATTTTTGTCAAGAACTCGAAGAGACACCTTTTTCAATTCTCTTTTTAACATTCGTTTATGATGGTTCGGCCGTCATTAAAATAAATTCACAGGTGCTCTTTCACCTGCCCATTTAATCCTGTAATCGGTACCTTTATTAAATAGAATATATGTCCACATAATGTGAATTGCTAGGAGGTATATAATATGAAAGGGTTATTCTTAAGCAGGTTCGGATGATGTGGTTTTGAAATATGAACATTTTCTGTTACCGCATGTGGCATGATACTAAACAAATTTTGCATCTCCGATTTCGCTTCTGGCGAAATTTTGCACAGCTTAAGAATAACATTGGCATTCTGTCTTTTGTAGAAGTGTGGTGCCGATTATTTAAGCAAAAATTTCTTAAAACGATAAATTTGCTTAATGTTCTGATTACATTTAAGATGACTAGAAAATATTAGAAATAAAAAAAAGCGTGCACGTTTAACATAACAACACAACAATAAATGTATAAACATTTCACATAACAGTTAAGTATAGTATGCGCGCATTCTAACTGCGTTTTTGATGAAATGGAATAAAATTTGGAAATGGTGTAATCCAATCATTCATTACTGACGGATCTTCGTTGTTGATTCAGAGAAAGCAGAGGAAATTTTTTGTAAGTTAATTAACTGAAAAGAAACCAAAAGGTTTGCTTTCTTTTGAGGAACAATTGTGCACAAGCGATGACAGACGACTTAAGCCCTTTTCCTGTTAAAAGGCGCCATCTTTGCTCATAGCTAAGGGTCTAAGGGTAAGCGTAACCGTGACTAGACAAGTATTGCAGTGGAGCCTTGGTTTTCAAATTTATATAAATTCTGTTCAGTTTGTTTTTAAGATTGAAACCACTGACCTTGGAATAGTAAATCATGTTCTGTTTTATATTAGTTTGTGGAAAAAGAGATCCATTATTTTTATATGAACTTCAGCACTTTATTTAACATGCTTCGGATTGTCCGATTTGGGTCAAATATGCACCGTTTTGTTGTACGATTTGTTTTATATTTTGATTTAAAGGTGATTTTAACAGTAAACTTGATAGTTCAGTACAGTAAAACAAACAAATTTGGAAAATTTGACAATTGAATTTTTCATCAAATACAAAATTTTTTTCTGTTTAGTTAAGTAGATGCCTTTAATACTCTATAAGTTAGTGGTTAAAATTTCAATTACATAATGGCTTCGCGATCACCGGATAAGAGTCCTAAGGAATTCCTGAACTTATCAGACCCAGATCCTGTTCGTACAAAAAACCTAAAAAGGTTACCCATTTTCCATCATTGGCAGCAACTAACATTCTTTTAACAGAAAAAATATATGTCATATTTACATCTAAAGACAATGTTTAAACTAAGTCCGTTTGCAGTTAAAAGACCTTTAGACGGAATGTCATCAGAAATATTTTGCTGTCACGTTACTAGCCTATTAATCTCGTTTGTCAGACCTGATTAATAGAGCCGCTAGAAAAACAATTCCTACTATTTGATCTGCTTGGATTGTGAAATACTTCGGTTATCCCGCAGCCGTTTGAGCACACGCTTAAGCTGAGCGACCTACCATCTTTGCAAACAAAACCTTCGTCTCTTAAATGATAAAACGCTATGGGAAATGGCCATTCCAATTTGGCCCGATGGATCTTCACGTTCCTAACTGGCGCACTAGAAGCTATGACAAGATTAAGTTTTCTCAATGCCGCACAAATTATGGGTTGCAACAACCTGTACATGTTCTTTTTAAATTATATAATGAATCATATCCAGGATTCGGTTTCAAATCGCAGAATCAAGGGTATCCTTTCCCGACTATAGTGTTAATGCACTCGCATTTGTTAGCAGTAGCTAGCAAGCACTCAATGATTCACAATTAATACTAACATGATTATATGAATGATAACAAATATATTTATAAGTGTTATTTAGAAGACGTATTATCACAAGACTACAAACACTGGACATACCATTTGTACCCATATTCGAAAATAAGTGCCTTTCGAGCTTAAGCCCAACCTCATCGA